TGAGCTTCTTTTGCTCAAGGTGAGCACCCTACCACTTGATCCACAGCGCCACTTTCTGCTTTTCTGAGTAGTTTACCAGAGATAACTTTATAGAGTTTCCTGCCTGGGCTAGCTTAGAATCACCATCCTCAGATCTCAGCCTCCTGAGTAGCTAGGATTATAGGCAAGAGCCATGGACACCCGGCAAGCATGGAGTGTTAAATGCAAAAGCACATTGCTTCAGTTGCAATTATAGTGCTTACCAACAGAGTTTTGCATAATTTCTGAGGACAAAAATAATTAGCCAACTTCCTTCCAAGTGAGCTTGCTCACTTGCGAGGAACTGGTGAACTGAAAGTGCTTGAAGGATCACAGCACATTGCTTCTTCTCCATAGAAAACACATTCCCATGCCTGAAACTCTGTTGCAAGGTCTGCATTTCCACCAAGCCCATTCACACTCCAGGTTCCTATGAGCCAACAAAATCCACTGGCCACACCTCTGCACACCCATGTGCTGCTCCCTATAAGGACCAAGAGAGTGACCGACAAGTCTCTACCCTGAGGGACATGTGAAGAAAGCAAGCACAATGACACACTAAGGTCCTCAGTAATATTAAGAACCTGTTGGAAGTCCCAAGGTGTGGCTCAGGGACAGCGCAGATGCCTGGGATACACAAAGACCTTGGTTTGTCCCCCAGCGAAGGGAGAGACATGAGGCCTGCTTTGGGAGCCACAGGGAGGGGGCAAGACGGGAAGAACAAGCATGGAGGAGACAGATGGGAAGAGACAAGCAAGTGTGGCAAGGAAGTAGGAAAAGCTGTGGCACAACAGGGCAGAACAGAACAGAACAGACTGCAGCACTCACAATGGGAAGTTCATCTGACTGACAGAGCGAGGTGAAAGGAGGGAAGACACAGGTTGGATGGGCCTTAAGAACTGACTAGATGGGAGAGTAAGGGAGCAGGCTGTGGGGCGAGGGGAGGAAAAGGATTAAGTAGCCCCCTTGGAGAAGAGGACTCCAGGTGGACGGGTGGTGGCTGGGAGAGAAAGGAACAGGACTGGGGAAGCTGAAGCAGGTGTGTGCGTAGGGAGGAGATGAGGGGCCTGTGGGGAACGCAGGGCGCTGCGATGGAGGGGAAGGCCTCACGTGTGCCAGGCAGAAACAAGACTCAGCAAGGCCGTCAGTGCTGAGATGTACACGTGTCCCAACTGGCTAGAGCGACAGCTGTCCTTGGCCGAGAAGAGTTCAGGAGCCCAAGCCATGGCCACATGGGGCAGGGCTTCCTCTGAAAATATCTTAAGATTTATACTATTTGAGGTTTTTTTGTTGTTTCTGTTTTTGTGCCGTCTCGGGGCTTGAACTCAGGGCCTAGGCACTATTTCTAAGCTTCTTTTGTTCAAGATAGCATTCTACCACTTGAGCCAAAGTTCTACTTTTAGTTTTTTTTTTTTTTGAGGGGGGGTAATTTACTGGAAATAAGTTTCACAGACTTTCCTACTCAGCCTCCTGAGTAGCTACAATTACAGGCGTGAGCCACACGTGCCCAGATATTTTAGGTTCTTTTAAGACAAGGTCTCCCTATGTAGCCCCGGCTAGTCTTACCTCATGATCGTCTGGCCTCTGCTTTTCAGATGCTGGGATTATAGGTGTGTGTTAACAAACCAAGCAAAGCTTTAAAACTTGTGTTTTATCCCAGAAATTTCAAGATAAAACACTCCACGCCTCAAGCCTGATCTGAGATCCTGAGCTGTGGTGTCCCAGCAGTGCCCAGTGAGAGTCAACCCTTCAAGTACAGTCGGCGGGGCATCCTGTGTTGACCCATTTCTCCTCCCTACTTGCCAATGTGTCTGGCCAATACCAGATCCGAAGAGCTTCCAAGACACCAGAATCAGCAAGAATCTGCTCCTGGCCACTAACTGCTTGGTCTGAACCCCAGGTTCCTCCCTCTCTGGGGGAACGGGGGGTGGAGTTTACCAAACCCCCATGCTTCCAAGGGCTGTAAATCTCCACTTCATTCCGCTTCCAAATGAGCTAATGACATCTTAAACATGATTATCAACCCTCAAATAAATGGTAAATTTTCATTAACTCATCTAATGCAATTAACATGCTTGATCCTCCATTTGCCTATTTGCATTGGGCACATTCCATCTCCATCCTTTTCTGGCTACCCTAGATTACAACTGGACTCTTGGTTAAAACAAACCAACAAGAACATTGGACAAGTTCCGTTTAATGGAGTCCTTGTGCTTGTGAGATTAAGACGCACCTGTCAACTCGCCCTCACCGGCCACCTGCCAAACCCTCCTTGGGCCCCCGTGAGCCCCATGATTACTGCCCAGCACGCATTCATTTTTGAAGGCTGGCAGGGACATTCCAGCTGAAGCTACAGCTCTGCCTGCCTTGCCTGCATGCCTTCCTCACGCTGACTGGTGAATAAATGGAACACTATTACAGGAGGGTTTCTCCTTTGTGAAACAGAATGACACAAAGTCAGTCCTGAGGATGGTACACCACACAGCCAGCCAGAAACGAGGGGCAAGTGACTATATAAAATCTTAACAGTATAACAAACATTCTAGTTTTAAGAAGAAAGGAAATAATGTATTTCAAATTTAGACTGAAAGAAGTAAAAATATTTTCTAGCAATTCGAAAAGTTGACCACTGTCTAAAACAGCAGTTTACAAATGGTTTGATTGTGTAAGAAGGGGGAGGAAACGCCTCTGACTTTGAATTTTCAATCTGCAAATTCATGCACAAAATTTGCAAACTAAACCTCACAGTTTTAAACACACAGTAAAATAAGGGAGATGAGGAAGTCTGACCACTAGACAAAACTTCATGAAATGCAGGTGTCTGGAGAAGAGACCAACCTGTGCCCCAATTATCAGGCTTACACCAAGCTTTCTAAACCATACTTAATTAAGGTTTCAGAAAACATAACCCACCCCCATCCTGGTGCCCCCCCCCACACACCTGCAGACATTCCAACAAGGGCCCAACACCCCCATGCAGATGTCCCAGGGAAGAAAACTGGTCCAAGTTTTTCTCAAGAATACAAGGCAGGAAATATGACAAGAACTGGTCACTGAAAGAACGCAACAAGATATGCCACAACTGTGAGCTAGAGCCAGAGGAGCTGTGGCCAGCAGAGAAAGCATGTGAGCTGGAGCCACAGGCAGGAGAGAGAAAGGCTGCAGTGGCTCTGGCAGATGGAGGCGGCAGGGTCCCCTGAGGTGAAGTTCCAGGGACAACTGTTGCTGAGTGTCCCAGAGCTGCCAGGAGCCTCCCTCTGTGCCAGGCTCCAGCCTGTCCCGGCCGGAACTCCCAAACCCGGTGATTCCCACCACACCACGGGGGCTGACACTAACAAGACTCCCTTTCACTCCTGCTGCAGCACAGGCAGCAGCGGTACGCGGTGGAAAAGTGCCCTGCTCTTAGTTCTTCTCAGGACGACTGGACAGCCGGGCTGGAGCAAGCCCTCAGCGCAAATAGGACAGGGAGAAGGCCTGGGGGACATTCTAGGGGATGAATGAAAATGTCTGTATAGGCAGAGGTGTGGGTGACAACTAATCAAACCATACAGCTAATCAAACTGTACAACTGTGTGACCATTTCACTGCAAATTAACATCTTGATTTTTTATGGGAAAAAAAAACAACAACAACACAAAACTTCACCTGTAGAGGAGTTGAGTTTTGATTTTGCTCAAGACCAAGTGGATCTACTCTCACAAACATAATACTAAGCAGAAAAACCCAAACAAAAAAAGCACATGGATTCCGTTGCTACAAAGAACAGAAAAAGGAAACAATCACCTAAACAAGATAGCAGTCAGATATGGTGGCATACTCCTGTAATTCTAGCCAGAGTTCAAGGCCAGACTGGGCAACACAGTGCAACCTTGTCTCAACATAATTTAAACAAACAAAAACAAGAGCTGTTAATATTAGCTCAGAGGTACAGTGCTTGCCTAGCCTGGGCAAAACTGTGTTCAATCCCCAGTATAGGCAAAAAAAGACAGGAAGGGAGGGAGGGAAGGAGGGCGAAAGAAACCTCCAAGCCAGTGGTTCCCTTTGAGAGGTGGGGAGCAGGGACCGATGGGAGCAGAGCACCCCATCCTGGGCTGTGTTATGTCCTGCCTCCTGAGCTTGGCACCACTAACATATTTGCTTCAGATAGATACGTTTTCCATCACGCCTTAAAGCAACAGAAAAGAAGAGAAGAGGTATCCTGCACTAATCTAAAAGTAACTGGATAAGTTTTATCTTTTATATCTAAAAGGATGGTTATTGTAAACTAAATTCTTGAGGTAGATAACAGAAGCAGACCAGTCTCTCCCGCATACAGAATTCTAACAGGACTCACATGTGAAAGGAGGGAGCACTCATTCAAGAGTCACTAAACAGGGCTGGGAAGGTGGCCCAGTGGTAGAGTGCTTGCCTTGCATGCATGAGGCCCTGGGTTCAATTCCTCAGTACCACTTAAGCAGAAAAGGCTGGAATTGGCACTGTGGCTCAAGTGGTAGATGCTAGCCTTAAGCTGAAGAGCTGAGAGACAGTGCCTAGGCCCAGAGTTCAGGCCCCACAAAAAAAAAGAGTCACTAACAATACAACCCTCCACCCTCCCCGCCTGCCAGCACCTGAGCACCTGAAGCCCCACAGCATCCCCTCTGCCTAAGGAGCAGCAGAGGAAAGAACCGGGCTCTCCCTCCCTCACCACTCCAACAAACAAAAACACAGCAAAATCCACAGGAAGTGTTTAGTCAGATCCTCACTTCTGTGTTTTCAAAGGAAGAACGAATGCCGATTCATTCTAAAGTACATCTCTTTTTTTTTTAAGTGTCTATTTTGATTTTCAGAGACTTCTGTTTTAGAAACATCTTATAGACACTAGATATAGTTCATAATCGTAAAGACAGAATAAGCAACGAGAGTGAATGTTAAGTTTATAGATCATGAAATTCTAATAATGACAAAAACAAGCCAATGAGTAAGCTGAAATGTAAAATACTTACAGCCATAATTAATTCGAAGGGGTGTTTATACACCCGCACTGGTGACTGGTACTTCTGCACCATGATTGTGCCTCCTCTCACACCTGCAAACACATGCACAAGTGTCAAGGAAAAACATGAGGTCTGTATTAACATTTCATGCTCCATTCTAAGGGTAAAAAAGGGCAACAGGTCATAATTCCATACATACAAAAGCCAACAGGGCAGAGAGAGGTGTGAGACCCTAAGGCAGAAAAAAAGAGGCCCACTCTCCCTTCTGGCAGCGGCCTGGCTAGGCAAGGAAACGCCAGGACCGGCGATCGACCATGTTCTCTCCAACAACTTCTAGTGGGAGCCAAGGAAACACTGGTGACATGTTTCAACACGAATCCCCGGGGGTCACAAAAATAAAAACGGGGGGGAATACTACTGTATCTCAAATTACTGGAGACTCCTCAACAGCCAAGTCTGAAAAGGAACTTTGCCGCTTCCTGTTTTCTCACTGTGTGCACTACAGTTTCAGGGGCGGGTCTGCGCCCGGCGGCCAGGCCAGGCGCCCGGCTCACGGGGGCTTCCTGGAATCTCCAGCCTCCGGCAGCTGTGGCCGCTGCCAGGGGCTAAGGACACCCTCAAACCTGCGCTGCGGGGGGGCGGGGGGGCTCCTGCCCGCTCGCTCCGCAGTCTGGGCGGCCTCTTCTCAAGACACACCGGTGTCTCGCGTCCCCCGTGACTCTTCCCACGCCTGTTTTAGAGCGAGGAGGCCACCAAACAAGTCCGTGGGTGAGCCCACCCGGCCCGCCCGGGATTGAGAACGCTCCTCCATGCGAGGGGACCCTCAGGGGTGCAGAGCTGCGCGAAGTTCAGCTGTGAACCAAAGTTGGGGAGATGTGCTTCACCCGCGCCGCACCTGCGCCCTGTGTGCGCGCGCGCGCGCGAGTTCACACGCGGGAGTGTGTGCGTGGCACCCCTCCCCGAGAGCGGGGTGTGCGGGCAGGCTGCGGGGGGAGGACCCCCTTTAGGCCGGATCTGCGAATCGGGGTTCGGGACACTCCAATTCGAAAGCCAGGCGCCGGCCTCGGGAGTTCCCCGAACTCCAGCCCAAGCCCGGGCCGAGGAGCTCCGGGGCGGGAGGCGCCCGGGGCGCCGGGACCGCGTTCCATTCCCTCCTGCAAACCTTCCCGCGCCGACGCCGGCGGGGATGGCGGGCATCGAACCGTCGCTTTAAAGTTGACCGGGGAAGAGGTTCTCGTTCCGCCACCTCCCAGGGCGAAGGAGGGGGTGGGGAGCCGAGGCCCCGGAGGGCGCGCCGCGGCCCGGACCCCGCGGCGTGGACTCGGGGTTCGCGGGACGGGGGTGGGGGGGCCGCGCCGGCGCGGAGCCAACCGCCGGCTCCGGCCGGGCGCACGCCCAGCGCCCCGGGGCGGCCGGGCCGGGCGGCCGCGGCGGCTCCGCCGTCCGGTCCGGGGCTCGGACCAGCCCGGGGGGCCTGGCCCGACCCGGCGCTCCCCGCGGGCCGGGGCGCCGAGCCGAGGGCTCCGGGCGGCCGAGGCGGGGCCGGGGGCGCGGGCCCGCGCGGGGTCCCGGCCGAGGGGCTCCCGAGCGCGCCCCGAGCCGCGGGCGGACGAGGCGGGGTCCGGGCCGCGCTCCGAGCCCGCCGCGGCGACGCGCTCTTACCTCTAGTCAGAAAGGCCGGGTCGGGGACGCGGGGCGGCGGGGGACGCTCATGCCGGCGCCTCCGCGGGGACGGCGCCGTTCCACAGCTCCGCCGAGCGGCGGCCGCCGGTTCCGGGGAGGGGGGCTGGGGCGGGAGGGACGCGGGGCGCGGCGAGGGCTCGAGTGGTTGTTACGGGTGACGGGGAGGGCGGGGCCGAGCGCCGGAAGGGGCGCGCGTGCGCGGACGCGGCAGAGGGGCGGGGGCGGGGCTGGGGCTGGAGACGGTTGCTAGGGAGGGGGAGGGGGGATGACAACTAGCCCGGCCGGAATCGCGCAGGCGCCAGATCGAAAGCGATGGGCGTGGGAGGAGCTAGGGAAGACGTCGAACTTGACGCACCCAGCCACCGATGGCTCCGCCCTGTTTTGCGTCATGGGGCGTGGCGCGGCGGAGGGGGCGTGGCACGGCGGGGGCGTGGCAGGGGTCCACGAATAGCTGGCGAAGGAGGCGTCAGGCACGCCGTGGGCCGCGAGCCGGGGTTGGGGTGATTCCGCGGGCGCCTGGACCGGGGAGAACGAGCGTCCTTCCCGCCTCGGCCTTGCAGCTGCTGGGCTGGAGCCGCGCCCGCCCCGCGGCCTGCCTCCTAGCCTCCTCCCCCCTGGTTGCCCCCTCCGAAGCAGCCCGCACCCCCGCGGTGCCCCGACCACCTTCTCGGGGAGTCACGCCGTGGAGGCCGGGCTGGGGCGGGGGGCGGGCCGGGCCGCACGTGGGCCGTCACTGGGCTGTGAACTTCGTGGAGATCCAGGTTTAAAACGCAGTGTGAAACACGCCGAGACGGGGAGGGGTCCTCGGAGGGGTACGCGGGGCCCCCGCCGCTGGCCCGCGCGCACCGTGTCGGTCTCGGTGTCCGTCCGTCCGTCCGTCCGCCCGCGCCGCGGTTGTTCCCGCCTTCGGAGCGGACCCTGCTGGGGCGTGGGGGCCGCTGTGGTGGAGCCTCCTTCAGGGCCACTCACTACTTGATCACGCCTTACTTTCTAACCCAAACCGTCGTTTTCCGGCTCTCCATCACCCCCCCCCCCCCTTCGCCTTGGCTAGACTGAGTGTAAGGAGCGGAATTGCACGCTGAAAAGACGCAGGTCGGAGGGAAAGAGCCTTCCGTCAGGGAAAAGGGGGCCCTGGGGGAAAGGGCCTTGAAAAACAAGTCATCCTTATCAGACACTTCTAACCGCCGCCGCCACCGCCTCTGTCTGGGAGCCAGTGATGGACAGCAGGCCCAGGACACCACGGGAAACCACTGCCGCGCTTATTTCATCAAATAAATGTGAGAGGGAAAACGAGCTAGCAAAAAGTTTATAGACTGATTAGAAGAGATTGGGTTAAAAGAATTTGTAACTGGCAGGGCTGGGAAGGAAGGTGGCTCAGTGGCAGAGCGCTTGCCTTGCATGCCTGAGGCCCTGGGTTCGATTCCTCAGCATCACATAAGCAGAAAAAGCCGGAAGTGGTGCTGTGGCTCATGTGATAGAGCGCTCGCCTTGAGCTGAAGACCTGAGAGACAGCCCAGAGTTCAGGGCCCTCTACCAACAACAGCAACAACAAAAAAGAATTTGTAGCTGGCCCAGGTGGCTCTTGCCTGTCATCCTAGCTCCTCCAGAGGCTGAGTTCTGAGAATCACAGTTCAAAGCCAGCCAGGGAAGAAAGTCTGTGCCACTCCTGTGGCTTAAGTGATAAAGTGCTAGCCTTGAGCAAAAAGCAACTCAGGGACAGCACCCAGGCCCTGAGCTCAAGCCCCAGGACCTGCAAAAACAAAAAAAGGAAGAATTTGTAGTCTTTTTTACTGTGTATACTATCCTTCAATTAAGCATCTTAAACAAAAATAGATAAATCATAAGCCAATAACGATATGCAAATTTTATTTCCATCTTGATTTAAATAAGATAGTAAAAATAACTTAAAAAGGAAAATTTGAACACTATTTGAACATACAATGTAAGGAATTATTAATAATTTTTAGGTGGGATGATGGAATTATGTCTAATACTTTTATGCTGTGATCAGGACCTCTCCCTTTTGATCTCAAACTTGAGCCATGCCTCCAGTCCAGCTTCTTGCTGATTAATTGAAGTTTTGAATACTTTTCAGACACCAGGATGGCTTTGAACCATGAGCCTCATATCTCAGTCTGGTTTGGCTGCCGGTGATCAAAAGCCCAAAAGTGTCAAGGAATAGAAGTTGAGATCCCTTTGTGAAAGAGGTCCAGGGCTGGTAGACACTGTGATCATCCTTAATTGCTGATGCCCAGTTACACCAAAGATCCTTTTTTTTTTTTGGGGGGGGGGGACATTAAAGGGACTGGATCCAAGTGTGTGTTTTCAGGTTTGAGAGTCTTAGCTCCAGTGCTTAAGGCAGTTTCACTGCTCCAATCTCATAGAATGTTTGTTTCATAATGGTTTAACCTCGGTGGATCTAACAAAGTAGAGCCAGTCTTAATATGTTAATATGTAAACAGTTGTTTGATAAGTGGGCTATTTGCCTGGAAAAGCGACCTGTCATCCTGAGGGGGTTACTTGCCAAGAGGAGAAATCTTTTGTTAGAACAAAGTCTTCAAGAGTTTCCTCAAGCAAACAGTCAAGCTAGATACTAGTTTACAATTTAATCTTCCTGAAGGAGAATGTCCTGGATCAAATCGACGTGTGTTGACACAGGAGGTCTTAGATCTCAGGGCTGGCCGTTGAGCTGTGAGATGTCTCCTTCCTCATTGCTCTGTCTGCCGTTATCACCAGGTCTCTTTTATCTCCAGCCAGGCAACATAGTGAAGATCAAACAACCCGCCTTGAAGACATTTTCCTTTGGAGGCCCTGCAGTACTGGTGGCACACACCTGTAATCCTAGCCACCCAAGAGGCTGAGATCCCACGATCACAGTTTGAAGTCTGCCAGGGCAGGAAAGTCTGTGAGACTCTTATCTCCAATGAAGGAGCAAAACACTGGAAGTAGAACTGTGGCTCAAGTGGTTGAGTGCTAGTGTTGATCAAAAGAGCTCAGGGACAGTACCCTGATCTGAGTTCAAGCCCCACACTGGCACACACACACACACACACACACACACACACACACACACAAAATGCAAATAAGCTGGGCACCAGTGGCTCACGCCTGTAATCCTAGCCACTCAGGAGGCTGAGAAAATCCGTGAGATTTTTTTTTTTTTTTTGATCTGGTGTGGAGCTTGAACTCTGGACCTGGGAGCTGTCCCTGAGCTCTTCAGCTCAAGACGAGTCCTCTATCACTTGAGCCACAGCACCACTTCCAGTTTTCTGGTGGTTTTTATTGGAGATAAGAGTTTCACAGACTTTCCTGCCTGGGCTGGCTTTGAACCACAAGCCTCAGATCTCAGCCTCCTAGTAGCTAAGATTACAGGTGTGAGCCACCAGTGCCAGGCCATGAGATTCTTATCTCCAATTAACCACAGAAAAAGCCAGAAGTGGCTCTGTGGCTCAAGTGATAGAGTGTTCACCTTGAGCAAAAAAGGCACCTAGGCCTAGAGTTCAATCCCTGGGACAGGAAAAAAATTTAAAAAAATAAATAAAAACCACAGTGGGATTAAATCCTTGATCAATAATAATGTTAAGCTGCCAGCAGCAGCCATTCTCTGCTTCTTTCTTCTTAACAGAACTCATCATTTTCAGCAGGGTGAGTGGCCACTTGAAAGACAAGATGCTTCCCATGTCTCTTGAAGTGTGTCCTGTGACTCAAATTCTAACCCATGGAATGTGAAGAAAGTATGTGTGTGCACACGCACACATGCAGGTGCACATAAACACACTCCCAGGGGTACACTAAGTCATCAGTCACCTCCTGGATATACTCTTCTCCCACCATTTGTCATTTGTTTCTCTTCCATGAGGCCTTCCTCAACAGTCAGGCTAGTGTCATGTCTCCATCCTGAATTACAGCATTTTTCTTCTGGCATAGATCCCTCTCCTTTCATGCTAATTTTTTTTTTCCTTTCTTCTTTTCTTTTTTGTGGAACTCAGTTCAAACTTCCCCTTGTGCTTACTAGACAGTTTCTCAATTTTCAAACATTCACACTGTATCTTAGCAACTCAATTACAAACTGGTGCTGGTGGAATTGTGGCTCAAGGGGTAGAACATTAAACTTAGGCGAAAAACAAACTCAGGGACACCACCTAGGCCTGATGGCATCTTCCCCAGCAGGATTAACCTGAGGTGGTGAAACTATTACTGGTTTCTAGGCCGTGTCTATTCCATTGCTCTTAGCACGATGTTAGCAGTCCTCTAAACCTAAGCATGACATAAGAGGATTGGGGATAGAGACGGGACAGTCACTGCAGAGAAGACTAAAGGGAGGGGAGAGACAAAACCAAAAATAGTAGCTTCCACCTGGCGTTAGGCTCATGACTGTCATCCTAGCTACTCAGGAGGCTGAGATCTGAGGATGGCAGTTCAAAGCCAGATGGGGCAAGAAAGTCCATAAGACTCTTTATCTCCAATAAACTACTTAGAAAAAACTGGAAGTGACACTGTGACTCACATAGTAGAGAGCTATACTGGAACCTTTATGGACAGTGCCCAGGCCCAGACCCTAGACTGGTAAAAATAATAATAATAATAATACAGTAGCTTCCTGCTGGGCACCAGTAGCTCATACCTATAATCCTAGTTACTCTGGAGGCTGAGATCTGGAGGCTTAGGGTTCAAGGCCAGCCAGGAAAGAAAATTCCTTGAGAGTCCACTTCCAAAATAATCAGCATGAAGTAAGGCTAGAGGTGTGGTTCAAGGAGTAGAATGCCAGCTAAGCAAGCAAGCCCAATCTTTTACCCTCACCCCTCCACACACTCAGCCAAAGAAGCAAGAGATAAGCATGAACAATTCCTCCATGGTGCTCCATTTCAAGGTTATCTCGGTTGTACTGGGAGACTCAGAGCATGAAGTTCTCGCTCTGGTATCCTACCTACCCTGAGATTCAGGTTTTGTTTCCCCTTCCGGAAGAGACCCATTCCCACATGGTGGCAAAGGAGTTAAAGGCAACTTTGCAAAGCAGGATAGTCTCCTGACACAGTCTGTCTGGCAAAGTTTACTGCCTGGAAAAGTACCGAAAATGTAGGTTACCCTACAGGCACAATTTCCTAA